TGGGGGGGGGGGGTGGGGGGAGAGTGGCATCTAGCCAGCGGAGGCCAGGGAAGCAGCTAAACATCCCAAAAGGCACGTGACAGCCTCCCACAACAAAGAATTATCCAGCTACAGAAATCCACCGTGCAGAGGTTAAGAAGCCCTGGTTTACTAGAACCATCTCTTTCTTACAGTTCAGGCCATTAAAGCAACTTTGACTTCAGATTGGGTTTATTTTTATAGGGTGATGTCTTACCCAAACTTGTCTAGCTGGATTTGGAGACTGTGCCCTAGCCCAACCTCTGGCTTTCCAGATTCATGACCCCTCCTTATCCAGACTTTTGGACTTGCCCTCGCTTCACTTCCTCTCAAACCACAGATTTCTATGTGTTGACTTCTGTTAACAATGTTACCCGCCCCCAGCTGCCTGGTTTTCCTACTCAGCTGACTGGATTTCCCAGCCCCAGTCCACTCCTTGTATCATTCAACTATTGCTGCCCATGACTCTAGTGTATTATTCTCAGAAAATATGATTAAGAGCTATATATGTTTTATACACCTAATGTATAAGTATGGAAGTAAAGACTAATACACAAAGCAAGGAAAAAAAAATTCACCAATTATTTTCTCTACGTATCTCAAGCAGAGCTTTTTTCTTTATTGGCTAAAAGTTTTCACTTTTATCATTAATCATTGGCTTAATGACCATCAGTTGATAAAAACTCTTCTAAGCGCACAAATATGTTTTCATTTCAGAAATCTTCAGCCCCCACCAACTTCTAAATCTCAACTGATTCATTCACAGTGAAAACCTATGACTAAAAATACATCCAGCCCTAGCTGATTTGGCTCGGTGGATAGAATGTTGGCCTACAGACTCAAGGGTCCTGGGTTCAATCCCAGGCAAGGGCACATGCATGGGTTGTGGGCTCAGTCCCTGGTGGGGGAATGCAAGAGGCAGCCAATCAATGATTCTGGGGGAATGCAAGAGGCAGCCAATCAATGATTCTCTCTCATCATTGATGTCTCTCTCTCTCTCTCTCTCTCTCTCTCTCCCCATCTCCCTTTCTCTCAGAAATCAATATGAAAAAAATTAAAAATACATCCATATTCTCTTTATTTTTTTACCCAGAAAGCAAGAAAATTTGTAAATATTTTATCCAGCTAAGAAGTTTATTTGGTTTAGGTAAAATATTTGTACCAACTTATTAATAGTCAAATATTATATACCAGTGGCCCGGTGCACAAAATTTGTATGGGGGGAGGGGGGGTGTTTCCCTAAGCCCAGCCTGCACCCTCTCCAATAGGGTACCCCACAGGGATCGGGCCTAAACTGGCAGTTGGACATCCCTCTCTCAATCTGGGACCACTCGCTCCTAACTGCTCACCTGCCTGTCTGCCTGATCACCCCAAACTACCCTCCCCTGCCGGCCTGATCTCTCCTCCAACGGCCCTCTCTGCCTCGGCCCCCACCACCATGGCTTTGTCCAGAAGAAAGTCGGATGTCCAGAAGATGGCCAGTCGACCCAGTCTAATTAGCATATTACCCTTTTCTTAGAATATATAGACCCTTAAAACCCCTCCTCAGCCCCCAGCTTAGATTCTACCTTCGCAGTTCACCCATATTAGGTTCTAATTGGTTGGTTTCTCTGCCAGTCAGCATCAAAAGCTCTGCCTCCTAGGCAGCCATTGGCTCCTCACACTTTACCCAGATTTGGTCCTGATTAGTTGTTTTCTATGCCAGTCAGCATCTCCGGGCCTATCTCTGGGCCTGATCAGAGAGGTGGGGCTGATCAGCAGCCCCCATGATGGCCCGGAGAGAAACAGAGGTGCGGCTGATGGTGAAGCCCGGAGAGAAAGAAAGAGGCAACAGCTGATCAACAGCTGCCAGGGAGGCTGTGGATCAGACCCTGCTTCTCTCTTTGAACCTCAATCCGGGCCTGATCCACAGCCCCCTCAGCAGTCAGTGCTGGGTCACCACAGTAACCAAGCACTGACTATAGGACTGACTTCTGGTCAGTCAAGTCTTCAGTCATTATGGACCCTGGATTTTTATATATTAGGACTAGAGGCCCGGTGCACAAAAATTTGTGCACTCAGGGGGGCGGGGCCCTCAGCCCGGCCTGTGCCCTCTCACAGTCTGGGACCCCTTGGGGGATGACCACCTGCTGGCTTAGGCCTGTTCCCCGGGGAATTGGGCCTAAGCTTGCAGTCAGACATCCCTCTGGCAGCCCGGCAGCCCTCAGGGATGTCCACTTGCCAGTGG